AACACTGGTGGCAATGTTAGGAATTTCACACCTTTCTCTGCTTCCTGAACATTGAAAAAGAAACACAAATTTAGTTCACCTCTATTCACTGACACAAGCAACCAAAGTGTTTCAGCAAGGCTGGAGCAAGTGTGGGGACTTCTGGAGTGCAGAGGAAGTTTAGGTATCCATTTAGGCCATCACTAAAATCTTCTGTTCAGTCCTGTAATTAGGTCTCTTCGTAACTTAAAATAATGCTCCACCAGCGTGTGTCAGAGATTTCTCTTACGTGGGATTATATTCTCACTTGATGCCTGGGGGGTGAGGGGTGAAGAAATTAAGATAGAGCTGTTTGCTATCATGTGGTAGTTAAACATTATGAGAACTATGGAGATCCATGGGGGGAAAAAAAAAACATCAAATGGAAAAGTAGACGACTATGATTATAATTACTTAGGATCAGGCATCATGCTGACAAGCACCTAACAAAACAGGTGCAAAGGAACACATGGGAGACCACAAATGAACAGCTTCACTCCCTTGGGCTCTTTTATGTTTACATAAAAACCTATTTCATAGAGCACAAACTCAGTCCTTACAGCTCAATCTCACTTCTAAAAGGACAGAAACCTTCTGATCCAGCAAGGCCCTTTTTTTTTTTTTTTTTTGAGACAGAGCCTCAAGCTACCCCCCTGGGTAGAGTGCCATGGCATCACAGCTCACAGCAACCTCCAACTCCTGGGCTCAAGCGAGTCTCCTGCCTCAGCCTCCCAAGTAGCTGGGACTATAGGCGCCCGCCACAACGCCCGGCCATTTTTTGGTTGCAGCCATCATTGTTGTTTGGCAGGCCCGGGCTGGGGATTCGAGCCCGCCACCTTACGTGTATGTGGCTGGCGCCTTAGCCGCTTGAGCCACAAGTGACGAGCCCAGCAAGGCCCTTTAACACAGCTATACCCTCAGCCAAATGCCAGCATCTGTGGTACAGGACATCCCAGCAACCCAACTTCTAACAAAAGCCCAAGACCTCTCCCTGCCATCTCTGCTCTGTGTCCCTCACCAAAATAAAGTGTAGCCCAGCTAAGCCACTACAAGGCTGCCGGGGGCCCACATCCTGCTTCTGACTCACAGCTGTACTTCCACATCATGGACCTTCCTTCAGGCTGTAAACCCTCCAGTCCATCAATCAGCCACAGACTTGGAGGAACTGTGGGCTGGGACAAGCAAAAGCATTTGGCAACACTCTTTGGTATACATTCTCATGTTTAGGATAACAGGGATCTCAGGAATGAGGAAAATAAACCACAGGAACCTGCTCCACCTTAAGAAAGGGCATGTTTTTTAACGTAACTGGGAAGATAAAGTTTTCTGTCAATCCGTGTCCAGTGAGGGTCTGACTCTAAAATACGTATTACTTACCCAGACCCAAAAATATCCAAAAGAGCAATTCTTGTGAGTTGAGTGAAATGTTTCTTAAGCATACCCAGTTACCAAATTTATCTTTAACTCAGTCCCTGAATGGTCTCACCTAGCAGAATAGCAAATCCGTGGCCCTCGGCAAAACGAGTCCATTAGCCCCATGAATTACAAATTGGCAGGTTTGGTAAACACAGACCAATCTGAAATCGCAAATTATAAATCAGTTGTGCAACTGAGTCGAGGTTACATGGCTACAAAACGGACCCCACAGAAAGAAGGACGCTGCAGACCCAGTCTTCAGCCATAGTCACTTTCCCTCCACCCACTTGTGGATGGGTGGCCTGGTCCCAATGCTCACTGCTCAGCCCGCTGCCCAGAGTACTTGTGGGGCCATGACCACATGCAATGTACTCATTCTAGAAGTCACGATCCTCAGGAAACTATGCCTCATTTACAAAGAAAAAGGAAAAGCCTCCAGCCCTCCTGATACCAGTATAGTGAGGAACAAAGTAAATGAATTCAGAAACTTCTTAAAACACCACGATAGACCCTGAAACTTCTGGGATAATGAATCTATTGCTTCAATCCTTCTGCTAACACCCCCTTCTCATTAAACTCTACAAGAAATAAATCCTTTCAATGTTCCTGATACCAGGAAAACATTAAAAGAGAAAGTAAATTTCTAGTGAACAGTTAAGCAAAAAAAAATTAATAATAATAAACAAACTGAAAATAGAGACAAAGTTGTAGCAGGACATTGGGACAAATGGGCAGAGTTACCTGCAAGCCGTGCTCCCCAGCATCATATTTATTGTCTCCATCCAGTTGTTCTACAGCCACATAATCCACAAATGATTCAAATACTTTAAAGAGAGAAGAAAAAGTCAACCAAAGTGATCACTAAAGCTTCAACCCAGATACAACTATAGCCATCCCAGATATAAATTATGTAAATCAGTCCATTTAGGAATCCCAAAAAAGACAATGCGAGTGAGTGCAGCGTGGACAGCAACACTCCCACTGCTAAAAACCACAACTCATGTGCCCTGACCACCCTCACTCACCAGCCAAAGGACACTCGTGTTTCTAAAGGGTATTAAAATGTTAACACAGAAAGAATTATGGTTTGTGTAATTGGGATTTTCACTGAACACTTAGTATAAAGTAACTATTACAAAGATCAGACACTTAATTGGGATTTTCACTAAACACTTAGTATAAAGTAACTATTACAAAGATCAGACACTATGGACAAACAATGAGTCTAGAACCAGGTGAGGACAAAGGTTTGCAGCTGAGACACAGAGCAACCAACAGCTCAGGTCAGCAGGAGACCACACCTGGCAGGTGGGGGCCAGTCCTGACATCCTACCACATGGACTGTCCCAGGTGGACTGCAAATAAACAGAAAAACTAAGAACTCAGGACCTAAAAACAAAAGTAACACATTGCATTTCACTAACATAAAGAATGGCAACACTGATGACGCCTGGGGCTCAGGGGGTAGGACAGCGGCCAGGTAACCCAAGGAGGTGGGTTTGAACCCAGCCCCGGCCTGTTAAATAACAATAACAACTGCAACAACAACAACAAAAATGGCCAGCCATTGTGGTGGGCACCTGCAGTCCCAGCTACTTGGAAGCGAGGCTGAGGGAAGAGGATTGGATCGCTTGAGCTCAAGAGTTTGAGGTTACTGTGAGCTAATGCCATAGCACTCTACGGAGGGCCACACAGTAAGACTCTGTCTCAAAAAAAAGAAATCGAAAAGAAAAGAATGGCAACATTGTTAAGAGTAAAAAAGCAAGGCGCACAATGAGGGAAGGTCTGTGCAAGTTCAATACAGAACACACAGCTGGAGTCCGTGAAGACCCACTTCTGCTCCGGCTGGTATGGAATAACACGATCAGACAGGACTGAAAACAGCAGCTGGATCACTCTGCCAGCAGGTAAAAGAGAAAAAAAAAACTGTGATACTCTGGACTACAGACAGCACAGGACACTGACTCTCTAGAGAAGGGGAGAGCCCATAAGAAGGGCCCAGCTCACAGCTTAGTGGCCAGGCCACAGTGCTGGGAAGGGAAACCCAGACAGCACCAGGGGTCTGAGTCTAGATGACAGAGTGAGAATATGAGGAGCCCAGGGCAGCAAGAAACTCTTAAGGCGCCTGTGGCTCAGTGGCTAGGGCGCCAGCCACACACACCAGAGCTGGTGGGTTCAAACTCAGCCCAGGCCTGCCAAAACAATGACAACAACAACAATAACTCCGTCTGCAGTTCTTTCCCCTGCGTCTCTGATCAGAAGCTCCAAAGAACATACACCATCAAAGGGGTAGTGCCTGTGGCTCAAGGAGTAGGGTGCTGGCCTCATATACCGGAGGTGGCAGGTTCAAACCCAGGCCCAGACAAAAACTATTAAAAAAAAAAAAACCCAAAGCCTGCACAGAAAGAGAGGTTCAGAGATTTAGGTTCTTCTTGAGCCACTGGCCAGGAAAGAACCACCTGGAGGATCAGGATTAGGAAGAACAAATCCTCAGAGCTCAAAATGGGCTGGGAATAGTCTGTGCCCCCCAGCCCCCACCAGAGTAAAACCTCCTAATATTGGGAGATTTGTCTCAAAACTCACGAAGGTTGGCTCAGCGTCTATAGCTCAGCAACTAGGGCATTAGCCACATATACCAAGGCTGGTGGGTATGAACCCAGCCTGGGCCTACTGAACAACAACTACAACCAAAAATTGCTAGGTGTTGTAGCGGGCACCCATAGTCCCAGCTACTTGGGAGGCTGAGGCAACAGAATCACTTAAGCCCAAGAGTTTGAGGTTGCTGTGAGCTATGATGCTACAGCACTCTACCCAGGGCCACAGCTTGAGACTTTGTCTCCAAAAAAAACCTCAGAAGTTTGAGGGAAGAAAACAGAACAAAATCTGTTTTTTCCTATACAACAAAGCTTTAAAGTAAGCCTGGGAAAAAAAACGGAACTACTTCCAAGTGACTTATCCATGCCTGAAAATAAAGGTTAAGGATCTCCAACACCCAGTAAGATAGAAACCACTATACCTGCTATCAATAAAATAGTACTAAGTGGCACCTGTGGCTCAGTGAGTAGGGCGCTGGCCCCATATACCAAGGGTAGAGGGTTCAAACTCAGCCCCCGCCAAACTGCAACAAAAAAATAGCCAGGCACCTATAGTCCCAGCTACTTGGGAGGCTGAGACAAGAGAATCGCGTAAGCTCAAGAGCTGGAGGTTGCTATGAGCTGTGATACCATGGGCATGCCCTACCAAGGGCAACAAAGTGAGACTCTGTCTCTAATAAAAAATAAAAAATAAAAATAGTACCAAGCGTGCAAAGAAGCTAGAAAGCCCTACTCATGACAAAGGTAAAAGCCACCAGACCCAGAAATCACAGATGACAGAATTATCATACAACTGCAAGAACACAGAAGAAATCAGGAGCATATTAAGAAAGAGACTATTTTTATTAAAAGATCCAAATCCAACTTCCAGAAACTAAAACATCCCAGATGGGATTCACAGCAAACTTGACGTCGCCAATTATCAGCGAAACCAGAGCAACAGAAACTGCAGAGTCAAATGGAGGCAGGCAGGGCAGCAGAGGAGCCGAGGTAACTTGAGGTGGAGCTGGGGGGTATGTGAAGAATGGCCAAACTCATCATCAATAAAACCATAAACCTACAAATCCTGCAAGTGAGCTCTGAGCAGAAGAAACATGAGGACTACAGCCTACAGGGCGCCTCTCAATCAGACAGCTTCAGATTAGAGAGAAGGGAGACCTGACAATTACGGTGCAGGGGCACTGTCACCAGCTCAAGAGACCAGCGTATCACACAGAGAGGCAGAGACTATGTGCGACAGCACAGCAGAATTCTCAGAAACAATGCCATCCAGAGGACCACACAACACCTCAAACGTACAATGACAAGTTCATATACAGAAATGAAGATGAATTAGTGTCTCTGCAGGGAGATAAAAGAATTCATCTCAGTAAGACCTGTACTATAAGCAACAAGGAAAATGATACCAGATGACGATCTCGATCTATATTAAAAACATAAAAAGTTGTATAAAATATAAAGTACACTCCTGACCTGGTTTTAAAACTCAATGTCTAGGATAGTGCCTGTAGCTCAGGGGGGTAGGGTGCTGGCCACATATACCAAGGCTAGCAGGTTTGAAACTGGTCCAGGCCTGCTAAAACCACAACAACTACAACAATAACAAAAAATATCCCGGCGGTGTGGTGGGCGCCTATAGTTCCAGCTATTTGGGATTCTCTTGCTATTCTCTATTTCTCCAGCAAGAGAATCACTTAAGCCCAAGATTTTGAGTTGCTGTGAGGTGTGTGATGCCCTGGCACTCTACCCAGGGCAAAAGCTTGAAACTCTGTCTCAAAAAAAATGAAATAAATAAATAAATAAATAAATAACAACGCCTATAAATCAGGTAAGAATTGAGGAGCCTCAGGGTAGGGCCTGTGGCTCAACAGGTAGGGTGCTGGCCCCATATACAAAGGGTGGTAGGTTTGAACCCAGCCCCAGCCAAACTGCTACAAAAAATAGCCGGGTGTTGTGGCAGGTGCCTGTGGTCCCAGCTACTCTGAAGGCTGAGGCAAGAGAATTGCCTAAGCCCAAGCACTGGTGGTTGCTGTGAGCTATGACGCCACATCACTCTACTGAGGGCAACAAAGTGAGACTATCTCTTAAAAAAAAAAAAAAAAAAAAAAAAAAAAGAATCAAGGAGCCAATACAAAAATTAACAAAATACTTAAACAGGCATTTTTCGAAAGATTTCTCAATTGTCAGTAAGTATTTGAAAAGGCAGTAACTTCAATGATCATCAAGAAAATACAAATGGCTTGGCGCCCATAGCACAGTGGTTACGGTGCCAGTCACAAATGTGGAGGCCAGTGGGTTTGAACCCAGCCTGGGCCAGCTGGGCAACAAACAATGACAACTCCAACAAAAAATAGCCAGGCATTGCAGCGGGCACTTGTAGTCCCAGCTACTCAGGAGGCTGAGTCAAGAGAATCACTTAAGCCCAAGAGTTTGAGGTTGCTGTGAGCTGTGACACCACCGCACTCTACCCAAAGTGACATAGTGAGACTCTGTCTCAAAAAAAAAAGAAAAGAAAAGAAAATACAAACTCAAACCAAGATAGCACCATTCTCCCACCGAAATCAAAACCTGGTATTGCACACTTGCAGTGTGTGCAGAGTGACTGTAACTCTGACATCCTGGGGACAGGGGTGAACCTGACAAACCACCCTGGAAAACTCCCTGGCCTTGCACATAAGCTGAATATACGCATGCCCTATGCAGTGGCAATGCAACCCCTCCTGCCATAAATGCAAACAAACACGAGAATGGTCACTCTGCCTCATGCCCAATAGCCTCAATGTGAAAACCACCCCAAGATCAAGTTTCAAAACTTTTGTGGCACGTTATTTAAAATGGAGTATCTAAAGTAACGAACACTATCAAATTACTGCTGCTTGCACACAGATGTATGTCACAAATACAAGGCTGAACAAAAAAAATCAGAAACTGGTTGAGCACAGTGGCTCTCACCTGTAATCCCAGCCTTCTGAAAGGTGAAGGCAGGAGGATCACTTGAGCTCAGGAGTTCCAGACAACCTGAGCAGGAAGAGCGAGACCCCTTCTCCACCAAAAATAGAAAAATTAGGCATTGTGGTGGGCACCTGTAGTCCCAGTTACTCAGGAGGCTGAGGCAGGAGGATGACTTAACCCAGGAGTTTGAGGTTGCTATGAGTTAGGCTGATGTCATGGCACTCTAGCCTGGGCAACAAAGAAAGACTCTGTCTAA